CTGAATTATACTTATTTTCCTATAGTGAACGATATCGAACATTACTTACTTCAGAAAGAATGCCTCCAGGTCATCAAGGTCGTGCTGATGTTGAAATAGTTTTACATACTGGTCAAGAAAATACAGCTGATGGAAAAGGTGTTCGTTGGTTAACAAATAATGCTACATTTGATATGCTTCGTTTAAATAATCTTAATAGATCTCTTCTTATGGATTTATATCATGGCAATGAACAAAATCTTCCACAGGATATTATTTATACTCTACAACATAATCAATTAGTTGATATTATTATTCAAAATACGGTTGCACTCAATGGTATCTGTGAATCACATCCAATGCATATGCATGGACATAAATTTTGGATACATTCATATGGAACTGAGACGTATAATTCAGCTAAAAATATTTTGCCTAATATACATGATCCAGTGTTACGTGATTCATTAATGGTTTATGCAAGTTCTTATGCTTATTATGTTTCGGATCGTAATGTGACAAATCATCGAAAACCATGTGGATGGGCAAAATTACGTCTGATTGCTAATAATCCAGGTTTATGGATGTTTCATTGTCATATTGGTGCACATTCATTTATGGGTATGAATATTCTTCTCAAAGAAGATATACAACATTTATCAATGATTTATTTATCACAAAATTAAATCGTTTTATTTCCTTTTCAACTTGTAATTGATTAAATCAAAAGCATCTTTTGATGAACTGAATTTTTGTATACTTTTTTTCATATTGTCTTCGTTTGTAATTAAGGAAAATAAAGAAATATTTTGAAAACAAAATATAAATTTAGTCTTGATTTTCAGGTCATCCAAAATAAAACGAAAACAATATTCAATAAGTTAACGCCTTTTCCTGTTTATACCTATCTACAAATTTTGTTTGAAAGCTACATGAGATAGATACCATATAAGGATATCAAAAATAAGATTGGTTAAAACTGTTTTCATAACAGCATACAAGAATAACTGAAAAGAAAAATATCGATCGAGTTACTTCAGTCTAGAACGGTAGAAACACGCTGATATATTCATATGAACAATTGTCTATAGATAAGAATAGGAGAAAATTTTCTCTTTAACTGTCTTCAGTTTGATTTTTTTTTCTAGTTTAAAAACTATAGTTTCTTTATCACAATTATGGACTAATTCTTATTTGATGAAGGTCAAGTCTTAATCTTTACATATCTCGCCAATTATTATTTATCAGTTTCTCTTACATTTTTACAATAGATTTAACAAATTCACATGATTAGAACGGACTGATAAAAACGATGTCTCGTAGCTTTGATTAAAAACCAAACACAAACTTCATTCTCTATAAAGGCGATATGAATCATTACTATCAACGATGAACGTAACAACGAATCTAGTTAGAAAAACACTTGAAAGACAATCGATAGCAGCTTTAGTAAGAGAAACAACTTTGCCTATAACACCATTCATGTAAATCCACATCTGTACTTTTTTCCTCTGAGGATTAAATGTTGTTCAGAATTTTCTTAAAAACTCCATTAGGTGCTAGCATACGGGATATAGGAGATATCAGAGTTATAGGGTGTGGTTGTGGTCGTGTGTGGCCGTTTTTCTGAGGCACCAGATCAGGTAGGATACATTGTGAGTGTTCTGAAACGCTATGATTATTTCACAGGATCAATACCTTTGTAATTTTATAAGTACACAATCATAACAAAGGCATAAGCATTGTATGATAGTTCAAATCTATAGTTCTTCAACAATCTATTTGTTATTAGAATTCTAACAAAGAAAGCAATATGAGAGAATTGGTAAATAGAAATTAAAGTTTTTTTTTTCTTAATCTTTTAATTTACGCCTTATTGAATTCAACCGATACTCTACTGCCTTGTAACATATAACAATTGATTATAGCCTAAATCCTCTTGATGTATCATTTTCGATTATATTGATGAATCTTGTGTAAAACTAAAATATGAACTACATCTTCAAATTTGAATGAACAATTCTATGATAATCGATAGTACCATTTTACTTTTGTATCTATTGAATAATTAATCCATGCAAAATTAATTCAAGACTAATAATATTATCAGTATTTAAGACGTTTTATACTTGAATGTGAAAAGACATTATGTTATTTTACAAATAGAAACATATTTGTCGAGATTATACTTACTTTAACCAAACGATAACAACATCATTCTTGATAATTTTAAAAATTTTATTTTTCTACTAGTGAATAATATTAATAATAAGACTCATATTTTCAATAAAAAGTTTGGATTTATTTATGCAAAAAAAATCAATTATAAATTAATTTTTTTACAAATCACTTTCTTCTTTGTATTCAAGAGATTTATAAAAG